AAAATGTATACAGATTCTGATAAAACTGGGCTACATGCTGAGAGATTTATTTTGGATTTTCATTGGGAGTATTACTGATCATTAATTTACATATGGAAGACATTTCGCCTGCCCTTTTTTCGAAATCAAAGAAATATTTTGTATTTTTCTCTCTCTCTTCTATCCATTTTCATCTTGATCTTAAAAACGCTCCCGAGCATTTTCCTTGTAGATACAGTCTAACTGCATTTGCAGTGATGATAGCTCTAGTAATTCCTGTTTAGTTAGATAACTTTTTTTAGTATAATCCATTATTCCCTTTATGATGTTATATTCTTTCTCTCTCTTGGCACGAGCAATTTCTTCCCCATTGAAATAGCCAAAAGCCTTGTATCAAATTTCATTAGTTCCCAGTAACTTCCAAACATATTCATAACACACGCACGATTCCAATATTTATCAATAATTCCTGCTACTTCCTTCTTAAATACTTCATTCTTTAGTAAAGTCTTATTCAATTTCTAGTAACCTTTACTAACTTTATTTGTTGACAAACCATGCATATTTATCTTTATTGAAATCCCTTTGTGGTCTGTTAAAATCGATGGTTCAATTGAGACTATCAATTGTCAGCCATATCTTCAGATTTCAGCCAGAAATCAATATGGGATTGTATAGATAAATCTTTGGTACTCCATGTAAACATAATCTTATCTAGGTTCTTATGTCTCCAAATATCTAGAACACCTAACCTTATATACATATAATTACATATATTCCTTATCTCACAATCAGAGTTGCTATCCTAAAGAGGCCATCTATCTAGATTATCATGTAATACTGTATTGAAATCTCCACCCCTGAAGGGAACCTATTAATTGAGCAACAATTTTGCTATCAAATAAGGGGTACATTAAAGTCCAATGTACTGGTGATGACTGGTGATGATGATACAGTGAGGGAAAAAAGTATTTGATCCCCTGCTGATTTTGTACGTTTGCCCACTGACAAAGAAATGATCAGTCTATAATTTTAATGGTAGGTTTATTTGAACAGTGAGTGACAGAATAACAACAAAAAAATCCAGAAAAACGCATGTCAAAAATGTTATAAATTGATTTGCATTTTAATGAGGGAAATAAGTATTTGACCCCCTCTCAATCAGAAAGATTTCTGGCTCCCAGGTGTCTTTTATTACAGGTAACGAGCTGAGATTAGGAGCACACTCTTAAAGGGAGTGCTCCTAATCTCAGTTTGTTACCTGTATAAAAAGACGAATGTCCACAGAAGCAATCAATCAATCAGATTCCAAACTCTCCACCATGGCCAAGACCAAAGAGCTCTCCAAGGATGTCAGGGACAAGATTGTAGACCTACACAAGGCTGGAATGGGCTACAAGACCATCGCCAAGCAGCTTGGTGAGAAGGTGACAACAGTTGGTGCGATTATTCGCAAATGGAAGAAACACAAAATAACTGTCAATCTCCCTCGGCCTGGGGCTCCATGCAAGATCTCACCTCGTGGAGTTGCAATGATCATGAGAACGGTGAGGAATCAGCCCAGAACTACACGGGAGGATCTTGTCAATGATCTCAAGGCAGCTGGGACCATAGTCACCAAGAAAACAATTGGTAACACACTACGCCGTGAAGGACTGAAATCCTGCAGCGCCCGCAAGGTCCCCCTGCTCAAGAAAGCACATATACATGCCCCCCAATGAACATCTGAATGATTCAGAGGAGAACTGGGCGAAAGTGTTGTTGTCAGATGAGACCAAAATGGAGCTCTTTGGCATCAACTCAACTCGCCGTGTTTGGAGGAGGAGGAATGCTGCCTATGACCCCAAGAACACCATCCCCACCGTCAAACATGGAGGTGGAAACATTATGCTTTGGGGGTGTTTTTCTGCTAAGGGGATAGGATAATTTCACTGCATTAAAGGGACGATGGACGGGCCCATGTACCGTCAAATCTTGGGTGAGAACCTCCTTCCCTCAGCCAGGGCATTGAAAATGGGTTGTGGATGGGTATTCCAGCATGACAATGACCCAAAACACACGGCCAAGGCAACAAAGGAGTGGCTCAAGAAGAAGCACATTAAGGTCCTGGAGTGGCCTAGCCAGTCTCCAGACCTTAATCCCATAGAAAATCTGTGGAGGGAGCTGAAGGTTCGAGTTGCCAAACGTCAGCCTCAAAACCTTAATGACTTGGAGAAGATCTGCAAAGAGGAGTGGGACAAAATCCCTCCTGAGATGTGTGCAAACCTGGTGGCCAACTACAAGAAACATCTGACCTCTGTGATTGCCAACAAGGGTTTTGCCACCAAGTACTAAGTCATGTTTTGCAGAGGGGTCAAATACTTATTTCCCTCATTAAAATGCAAATCAATTAATAACATTTTTGACATGCGTTTTTCTGGATTTTTTTGTTGTTATTCTGTCACTCACTGTTCAAATAAACCTACCATTAAAATTATAGACTGATCATTTCTTTGTCAGTGGGCAAACGTACAAAATCAGCAGGGGATCAAATACTTTTTTCCCTCACTGTATAATGAGCCTTCACAGACACACATACAGTACTGAGTACAGCAACACAGGCTGTCCCTTTGGCTAAATCTGGGAACTCTCTCCTAGAGCTTCCTCACAGTCACGTGTTATAGCACAGTTTACTTTACCAAACTCACTGTAGTATTTGTCCTTTGGGGTTAATATACAAGCACAGATAGCCACACAACCAAATAATGATTAACAAGATTCCCATAGCCTCCTTTCCTCTCGGACTGAAGAGTTGGGAGACTTCCTCCTAATTAGCACAAAGTCAAGTCCAGCTAGGGAGTGTAGTTCTGGAGAATATGTTATACATTCCAGCATAGATAAGGAAAACTGAAGTAAATACTGTCCTTCAGTGGCGACAAAGACATGGTAACATTTACAAGGACGTCTCATATGAGACGTGAGTCTCACACAATGGATAAAAAGTGCATGATACGCCTATCTAGGACTGCAGTAGCAAATTACCCCGTAGTGTGTTAATGTATTAATTAAGCAAGAAGTTCAAATGATTTGTGATGTTCTGAGTCAGAAATGGGATGTAAAGCCTAAAAATATATTCCATCAAACAATACGCTACTGTATCTATCTGCTGGGTCATGAAGTGAGGCATGTGATTAAGTCAGTTGTTAGATATGGACTACATACCATGTAATTTCTGATTGGCCTTTACTGTTCATACTTACTATGACAAAGCACAGACACGATTTGATTTACATTTACATTTACATTTTAGTCATTTAGCAGACGCTCTTATCCAGAGCGATTTATCATACAATACCAGCTGCTGTCCATTCAGATTGTGGATTCAGAGACGATCTACACAACACAAAGAAGGGAACTGGAAGAGAGAAGATAAGATCATAAAATTACTTGACTCACAATTTCCCACATTCATGTCAAGTGACTGTGGAGCTGTGAGCATCAGATGAATTGTAAATGGAGGTTCTGATAACTGTCAAATGGTTTGAGTGGAAACTGGATTATGTTTCACATGGCCTCATTTCCTCTTTTTACACCACTTTGTGTGAGGATCATTTCCTATTCAGAAATATCACAAACTGCTCAATATTACTTATAAAGCAAGTATAAAGCAACACATTACTTGTAAATTGAATTATGGGGCTACCTAGGCCTAGTCAGTGAGATTTCCGAAAAAAGAGGGGGGAAATAGAAACAGACAAAAAACGACATGGGGTAAAGAGATAGTCAAATACAGTAACTAATCATCTGAAGCAATATGATAGAGCGCGCATTTATGACGTTCACACGCGCCAATCTAAATTCTGCTAGCTACTGTCTTGCTTTGCAGTTATTTATTCAGCAATTTTAGCTAGTATAATAGCTAAGAAGAAGAAGAAGAGTAGAGCACATTATTCAAGCTAGTGGTAAGTGAATTTAAAACCAAAACCATATTCTCCACAATATCCATTGTTGTCAGACTTGTAACTTTTTACAGGGTAAATGCTAGTAATGTTAGTTAGCTAGCTAGTTGCCCCATGCCATGGCAAATGGGCCAGGGCTAACGTTAGCTAGCTAGTTAGCTAGTAGCTCAACTACATTACAGTATGTTTCTGACCTTTTCAAAACAGTTGTCAGAAATGTAATGGTAACGTCAATTCACAACCCAATTGTTGGATTGCATTTGTCTGTATGCTATTTAGCGTCATTATGCCGCATTTACATGACCAAATCACCAGATGGCATGCAAAAGATCGTGGCTAGCTAGCTCTTTTGAAAACCATGCTCTCATGTCCAAATACAGCGCTTTTAACGGCCTCAAACATTCGTTGTTTGACTGTGAAATCACTAAACATTTCCTGAGAATAAAATGGCAAATTACTTACAGTTCTGTTGTTTTAGTGAAGACTAGTCTGGAGGGCTAACATCCATGTTGGCTTTGATATTTCTACTTTCGATGCTATTGAAAACAGCATCTGTTAAATTGCAGTCAGGAGTCAGTAGTTTTGTGCATAGGTTTAGTGCCATGGGAATCATGGATAAACAGGGAGGGACTGCTAAAACAAATTCAGAGGTTATGATTATGCTAGCTAGCAATGCATACCAATATTGTGGATCATGAGTAGAAGCCTTTAAAGTGAAGGAAGAGATGTTTGGTTGTGGGTCATGAACTGAACACATTTGAAACTCATGATCCACAATATTCTCTGTACTCTAAGGTCACTGACTGAATGGATAAATAAATATCTTGCATGTCATAGTTTCCCTTCCCTTTGGAACCCTCACTTTTATTTTCTCCAACAGGCCGGTCTCTCCATATTTTAATAATTTGATTGATATTATATAGGTTACTTACTACCAAAGACTATGTCTATAGGACGTATTTGGTTCTACAAGGTGACACCATAGACTTATGAGTCAACTCACATCCCTTATCATTCAACCATTGATTCACAAGGCTGCTGGGAATCCAAAGCAAGCAGAGGCTGTAATGTTGTTCTGCCACCATGTCTGAGGTGAGGATGATGGAGATGTGATAAAGAGGATGCATTGAGGACTTCCTGTTTCAATTTTTCCTGCATTTGTAGCCAATCAGGTCCACTGAAAACCTCAGGTACCCTATCTACAGTGAGGGAAAAAAGTATTTGATCCCCTGCTGATTTCGTACGTTTGCCCACTGACAAAGACATGATCAGTCTATAATTTTAATGGTAGGTGTATTTGAACAGTGAGAGACAGAATAACAACAAAAAAATGCAGAAAAACGCATGTCAAAAATGTTATAAATTGATTTGCATTTTAATGAGGGAAATAAGTATTTGACCACCTCTCAATCAGAAAGATTTCTGGCTCCCAGGTGTCTTGTTTGGAGGTTTGTTAACACAGTGTCCAATGAAGGGCCAGATGTATACAAAATTGTGTCGTCTGCGTAGAGGTGGATCTGAGAGTCACCAGCAGCAAGAGCAACATCATTGATATACACAGAGAAAAGAGTCTGCCCAAGAATTGAATCTTGTGGCACCCCCATAGAGACTGCCATAGGTCCAGACAACAGGCCCTCCGATTTGACACATTGAACTCTATCTGAGAAGTAGTTGGTGAACCAGGCGAGGCAGTCATTTCAGAAACCAAGGCTATTTAGTCTGCCAATAAGAATGCGGTGGTTGACAGAGTCAAAAGCCTTGGCCAGGTCTGCACAGTACTGTCTATTATCGATCGCGGTTATAATATCGTTTAGGACCTTGAGTGTGGCTGAGGTGCACCCAAGCAAAATGCTTGTTGAAATTCTCGATTATTGTAGATTTATCGGTGGTGATAGTGTTTCCTAGCCTCAGTGCAGTGGGCAGCTGGGAGGAGGTGCTCTTATTCTCCATGGACTTTACAGTGTCCCAAAACATTTTGGAGTTAGTGCTACAGGATGCAATTTTCTGTTTGAAAAAGCTAGCCTTTGCTTTCCTAACTGCTTGCGTATATTGGTTCCTCACTTCCCTGTAAAGTTGCATATCGCGGGGGCTATTCGATGCTAATGCAGTACACCACAGGATGTTTTTGTGCTGGCCAAGGGCAGTCAAGTCTGAGGAGAACCAGGGGCTATATCTGTTCTTAGTTCTGAATTCTTTGAATGGGGCATGCTTATTTAAGATTGAGAGGAAAGCACTTTTAAAGAACAACCAGGCATCCTCTACTGACGGAATTAGATCGATATCCATCCAGGATACCTGGGCCAGGTCAATTAGGAAGGCCTGCTCGCTAAAGTGTTTTAGGGAGCGTTTGACAGTGATGAGGGGTGGTCGTTTGACCGCGGACCCGTTACGGACGCAGGCAATAAGGCAGTGAGGTGTATTTAGAGGGTAAGTTAGTCAGGATGATATCTATGAGGGTGCCCATGTTTACGGATTTAGGGTTGTACCTGGTAGGTTCCTTGATAATTTGTGTGAGATTGAGGGCATCTAGTTTGGATTGTAGGATGGCCGGGGTGTTAAGCATATCCCGGTTTAGGTCACCAAGCAGTACGGACTCCGAGGATAGATGAGGGGGCAATCAATTCACATATGGTGTCCAGGGCACAACTGGGGGCTGAGGGGGGTCTGTAGCAAGTGGCAACAGTGAGAGACTTATTTCTGGAAAGGTGGATTTTTAGAAGTAGGAGCTCAAACTGTTTGGGCACAGACCTGGATAGTATGATAGAGCTCTACAGTAGATTGCAACTCCACCTCCTTTGGCAGTTCTATCTAGATGGAAAATGTTGTAGTTGGGGATGGACATTTCTTAATTTTTGGTGGCCTTCCTAACCCAGGATTCAGACACTGCTAGAACATCAGGGTTGGCGGAGAATGCTAACGCAGTGAATAACTCAAACCTAGGAAGGAGGCTTCTGATGTTAACGTGCAGAAATCCAAGGCTTTTACGGTTACAGAAGTCAACAATTGATAGCTCCTGGGAGTAGGAGTGATACTGGGGGCTGCAGGGCCTGGGTTAGCCTCTACATCACCAGAGGAACAGAGGAGGACTGGAATAAGGATACGGCTAAAGGCTTTAAGAACTGGTCTTCTAGTGCGTTGGGTACAGAGAATAAAGGGGGCAGATTTCCGGACGTTGTAGAATAGATTCAGGGCATTATGTACAGACAAGGATATGGAAGGATATGAGTACAGTGGAGGTAAACCTAAGCGTTGGTTAACAATGAAAGAGATAGCATCACTGGAGGCACCGATTGAGCCGGTCTCCGCGTGTATGGGGGGTGGAACAAAGGAACTATTTGAGGCAGTTTGAGAGGGACTTGGGGCTCTACAGTGAAATTGTATAATAAGAACTAACTGGAACAGCAATAGGCAAGGCATATTGACATGGGAGAAAGGCATAAAGCAATCACCGGTTATTAGAGAGAGCTAAGACAACAACTGGTAATGGCAAGGAAAGTTTGGGCTGAGGCTAAACAGATAAACAGGACAGCGTACCGTGTAAAGGAACAGTCCAGCAGGCATCAGCTGTGCAGCTGAGTGATCATAAGGTCCAGTGAACAGCAATATGTGAGTCCGAGAGCAGTTCGAATTGGTGCTACAGCACAGCGAGCAGGAAGCACGGCTGTTGTTTGCGTGTGCTAGCGGGCCGGGGCTAGCAGATGGATCTTCGTGGTCGTCGCAACGGGAAGCCTGTTGAAACCACAGACGATTACGTCGGCAGACCAGTCGTGATGGATCAGCGGGGCTCCGTGTCGACTCTAGGAGGTCCCGTCCGGTTGACAGAGAGGTAGATAGCCGGGAAATGTGCCTGACTCGAGGCTAGCTCAAGGCTGATTAGCCAACAACAACATCCATTTGGTTGCAGCTAGCTAGTTGCGATGATTCGATGTTAAAGGTCCAGTGATTCAGTGATTCCGGCAGAAAATCCGATATGTTCTGTGCAGACAGTGCAGACTGGCCGATAATAGTCCAGGCTAGAGCTGGCTGGTAGGTAGTGCAGACCACGGACAATGGTGAAAAACCGCTAACGGTGGCTAATAGCAAGTAGCTAGTTAGCTGGCTACTCCCGTCCGGTAGACAGAGAGGTAGATAGCCGGGATATGGGCCTGGCTCGAGGCTAGCTCAAGGCTAACTGGTGCTTGATTCAGGGGCAGTGGTGATTAGCCTACAGCAACATCCATTCGGTTGCGGCTAGCTAGTTGCGATCCGGTGTTAAAGTCCAGTGATTCAGTTATTCCGGCAGAAAATCTGATGTTCTGGGTGAAAACCGCTAACGGTGGCTAATAGCAAGTAGCTAGTTAGCTGGCTAGCTAGTTTCAACTGGAGATTCTAGATAAAGGTGAGTAAATAATAGAATCCATTCCACATTGAGTGAGGCGGGTTGCAGGAAAGTATATTTAGTAGAAGGATGAAAAGTGTGATAGGGAGATATATACGTAAAATACAAACAAATACAAAAAAACTGGCTATTTACACGGACACACAACAGAGAACACGACCGCACTGCTACGCCATCTTGGAACTAATAAAGTGTCCCAGTCTCATTCCCCAAACTGGACAGGCTTTAGGATCATGCAGTCTGTGGCCAAACAAGCAAAATTAATGGTTCCTTTGAGAGAAGTGGTAGTGGAAGGATAGTACAGGGTCTCTCACATTCACACACAGACTTTACTACAAGCTGGGGAAATGTATGGTGAAGAACATCTACAGCATTTATTTCGACTAGGCTAAATGGAGTAATGGTAAATGTTTTCTTTTACCATGACTAAAATATATGTATTTGTCAGTCATTTGTTAAAATGTAAAGCTTATTTTGACAAATTATAGATTTGGACAAATATAGACTGCTCCAGTCTGTGAAATTATTGTCAGTGTTGCTGACTGTGTTTTGTTTGAAATGGAACGACTGACATCTGTGTTTGATCCTGAACCCACTCTTCCTCATCCGTGCTTCTCCTCTCGATCGGAATTCTCACATTCTCGTGTAATAATTTGGCACACAGGACCCTGCTGTGGGTTTCTGACAATTTACCTGTGTTTCATAGGTGCGGGTATAAAGAGACGTTCTCCTCCATGCCCATACTCGGAGCGAGCGGATGGGCGAGGTCACCTGCCTGCTGAAGCCACCTGATTAAAAGCTCATTTATCTAATTTAACCAACACCCAGAAAGCACACATTTGAACAAGAGAGAAGTGTGCCCTCTACGCATAAACGGATTACTTTTTACTGTTGGTGGAACGACTATCCAGAAATTATTCAAAACAAATGGGGGCCTTTTGGTTCGTGGAGTTGGGCATATTCATATTATTTCTCCAGGTAAGATTATTTTTGTTTCTACTCTGAAAGTAACGCGCAATGTAGGCTACGCCATTTACCTGGGAATACGTTGGCTACAGTCTGAACCAGTATCTGTGCTTAGAGATCTCTCTAACACACATATACTGGTTAAGCTACAGCCCTTCTTTAAAAACTTGTTTATGATTTAACTTTTCATTATTCATCGGGTACATTTGTTTTAGTCAGCGTTGCGTTGGTCGGTTATTTGTTTAATTACCAGGTTAACGTACCCGGAAACGTTTTTTTTTTTTTTTACACACCCGGTTATTTTATTATTATTTTGAGCTTCTTTTATCCAAACATATACTACATTTCACAATAGGGTGCTGTGTTATTTGTAGAAGATCAACAATAGTAGTGAGTGGTAATTATGATAGCATTTCTATGGTAATCTGGGTTATATTTATTTTGTGGTAATCTGGGTTATATTTATTTTGTGGTAATCTGGGTTATATTTCTTTTGTAACCTTGTGCAGTTGATTATAAATAATACAACTGACCTTTATTTTATTTTTTCCTTTTGTAAGGCTTTCAAGCCAGGGGCGTCGGAGGAGTCAAAATGTCTACCAGGTTTCAATTCAGAAATGTACATTTTCAAAGTGGAAAGAAATCACTTACAAAGTGGCCGGAGACTAGGAAAAGGTAAGAACTAACTAGTGGTAGCTTTCTTCTTCAGTGGGGTTTATCGGCGGTTGGCATCCAACGTTATGGTGCATTACCGCCACTGTACTGGAGTGGAGTGTGGGCCAGAGACAGGGAGAAACTAAATCCTACCTGCCAGCCCAGTTGCTCTTAAAAAAGATAACACAATATTTGAGACTATATCTAATGACGTTCTACTCAATATACTCTTTAAACTAATTTCCTGTATCCCCTTCTCCCTCATACTAGATCTCATCCTCTCTCTTTCCCTCTGATACTGCCCACACTGTAGCAATACATGCTCCACGGTGTCTGTTTCCTGACAATAATCACACTTTCCTGTTGGATGCTTTCCTATCACATTTAATGTCTTATTCAATTGGCTGGGTCCCACCCTTACTCTTGTAAAAATAGCCTCCTCTCTTCTGTCCCTTCCTGCTGTCCTCCCCGACTTTCCTCTGTACTTGAAATAAATGCCTTCTTCTCTATTCTACTGCGCCTGCCATCTCTGCACCATCACTGTATATATCAGTCTTTTTGCCTCTGCCTTGCTCATTGAAACTTCAACATCAACATCCCCACTACTAAGTGCTTGTTTAGCCAGTTCATTTACTGCCTCGATCCCCTCCACCCCAACATGGGATGGGACCCATGTAAATCTTATCTGAATACCCATCTGTTTAATCCTGCTATGGGTTTGTAGCACCTCATAAAGCAGGTCTTATCTGCTATGTGAGCTAATTAACACTGCACATGAATCAGAGCAAATAACTACTGTCTTGTTTGACTTACTCCACCCACTGCAAGGCCAACAGTATGGCCATCAGCTCCGCCATATATACAGACAGATGATCTGTAATACGTTTCCTGACTTCCACCCCACATTCCTGCACTACAAATGCTGACCCAGTATGTCCTGTCCTTGGATCTTTTGAACCATCTGTGTAAATGGCCACAAAATCCTGATACACAGTATCCAGACGTCTCTTAAACAAATCAGATGGATCAACACCCTCCCTATTTGAAATGTCATCCAACTCAAAATTCCAACTCGGGAACTCAGGCCTCTTTCAAGAGCTCCAACTTTTCAACCTGAAGATCACCGACGTCATGATTTGACCTTTTATTCTTCCGAGCCCCAGTTGTTTTGAATGCTGCATAAGGCCTAAGATTTTTGAAATGAGTGTCATCACTTCAGATTACATTGTAGTTTCATTCATAGCAGACAGTGTTCTGCTTTGAATATTTCAGTACACATAGAGATTTTTAAAAAATACATTATTCAATTTGTCAGAAAAGTGGTTCAATTGGAAGTATTTTGTGTTTCAAGATTTGTTCCGTCTCCCCAGACAGCCTTCGTGATTCCTAATCAAACTGTGCATATCTCTGTACATTGTACAGGCAAGCCACTGAGCACACTTCGTTTTTAGATACTTGCAGGTCTTGCTATGATTGTGGGCCTTGTGTCTTTGGCTTCTCTATGAACTTACACTGTGATTCACAAAAATAATTTAGAGCTATAAGGTGAGTGAACTTGCTGACAGCAATTTATGTTCCATTTGGTGTGTCCAAGGTTGTCAGCCGTTGTTTAACGGCACAACAGATGATGAAACACAAGGCTGGCTAGTTTCACAAGGCTGCTTTGTTTCTAAGTAAATCATTGACTCATGTCTCTGGGACCTCCAGTAACTCCCTTTGATAGGACTTTGTAACTGTTTGTTGAGGTGCGGCTGGCAAGATGACCCTGTACATTACTTGGCAAATATGGCATGGCACTGGCCTTCCCCTGTTTTCTCAGTCTTAGTTTATTTACAATAGCATTGTGGTGTTTTGTCTGTCCAGCATTGGTGCTAATGGAGGCTCTTTTTTTTTTTTGGGACTGCATGGCCATGCACGTCTCAACCCAATCATAGAGTTTGCAGACGACACAACAGTGTTAGGCCTGATTTACCAACAACGACGAGACAGCCACTTGTAAAACAAATGACAGATGGCCTGATTCTTTATTGTTGATCTGGATTTGAGCTTTACCACCTACAGCTTTCTTTAATTTATTGAAAACATTGGTGACGACCGCCATCTTGCCTAAAGAGTGGTAGTCGCTGTACCTTTTACCTACCTGATTCTCTAGTACTTAACTATCAATAGAATGAGCAGAAAGCAGAAGTAGGTACTGTGGCATACATCCAATTCAGTTTTACTAATGAAAACCACACTTCCATATCTTTCTCAACCACACATTTCTCGTTTTGTGTGTCATTACAGAATTTCTGCATAACATTTAGCCAGTTCATTAGGCTGGAAAGAGGTTTATTGATTTTGGGTTTCTAAACGGCAACTTTTATTGGGCAGTCTAGGCCTAAGTGAAAGAACTACAGAAAGATGGGGGGGGGGGGGGCAGAATTGTAGGTCATTTAAAAATATAAATAATACTCAATCAACTTATTTTGTAAAATAATAAGGGCATAATGAGACACTAATACCTGAGTGATTCAGACCTCTTTGTAGAGCTAGGCCTATGCCTCAGGATGTTTAGAGTAGTAATGTGAAGCCAGAGGTTGCTGCCCACCTGTCCTTGAGTCTTAACCCAGGATAACCCTGCATAATGTCTTGCGATTAGGCCTAGGTTTTTAAGAAGGTCATTTGCTGCTTTGTTACTATGACCAATATTCCATTTATACAGTGAGGGAAAAAAGTATTTGATCCCCTGCTGATTTTGTACGTTTGCCCACTGACAAAGAAATGATCAGTCTATAATTTAATGGTAGGTTTATTTGAACAGTGAGAGACAGAATAACAACAAAAAAATCCAGAAAAACGCATGTCAAAAATGTTATTAATTGATTTGCATTTTAATGAGGGAAATAAGTATTTGACCCCCACTCAATCAGAAAGATTTCTGGCTCCCAGGTGTCTTTTATACAGGTAACGAGCTGAGATTAGGAGCACACTCTCAGATTCCAAACTCTCCACCATGGCCAAGACCAAAGAGCTCTCCAAGGATGTCAGGGACAAGATTGTAGACCTACACAAGGCTGGAATGGGCTACAAGACCATCTCCAAGCAGCTTGGTGAGAAGGTGACAACAGTTGGTGCGATTATTCGCAAATGGAAGAAACACAAAAGAACTGTCAATCTCCCTCGGCCTGGGGCTTCATGCAAGATCTCACCTTGTGGAGTGAGGAATCAGCCCAGAACTAGACGGGAGGATCTTGTCAATGATCTCAAGGCAACTGGGACCATAGTCACCAAGAAAACAATTGGTAACACACTACGCCGTGAAAGGACTGAAATCCTGCAGCGCCCGCAAGGTCCCCCTGCTCAAGAAAGCACATATACATGCCCGTCTGAAGTTTGCCAATGAACATCTGAATGATTCAGAGGAGAACTGGGTGAAAGTGTTGTGGTCAGATGAGACCAAAATGGAGCTCTTTGGCATCAACTCAACTCGCCTTGTTTGGAGGAGGAGGAATGCTGCCTATGACCCCAAGAACACCATCCCCACCGTCAAACATGGAGGTGGAAACATTATGCTTTGGGGGTGTTTTTCTGCAAAGGGGACAGGACAACTTCACCGCATCAAAGGGACGATGGACGGGCCATGTACTGTCAAATCTTGGGTGAGCACTTCCTTCCCTCAGAAAGGGCATTGAAAATGGGTCGTGGATGGGTATTCCAACATGACAATGACCCAAAACACACGGCCAAGGCAACAAAGAAGTATCTCAAGAAGAAGCACATTAAGGTCCTGGAGTGGCCTAGCCAGTCTCCAGACCTTAATCCCATAGAAAATCTGTGGAGGGAGCTGAAGGTTCGAGTTGCCAAACGTCAGCCTCGAAACCTTAATGACTTGGAGAAGATCTGTAAAGAGGAGTGGGACAAAATCCCTCCTGAGATGTGTGCAAACCTGGTGGCCAACTACAAGAAATGTCTGACCTCTGTGATTGCCAACAAGGGTTTTGCCACCAAGTACTAAGTCATGTTTTGCAGAAGGGTCAAATACATATTTCCCTCATTAAAATGCAAATCAATTCATAACATTTTTGACATGCGTTTTTCTGGATTTTTTTGTTGTTATTCTGTCTCTCATTGTTCAAATAAACCTACCATTAAAATTATAGACTGATCATTTCTTTGTCAGTGGGCAAACGTACAAAATCAGCAGGGGAACAAATACTTTTTTCCCTCACTGTACATTTACCGAGTGAGTTTGTGGTGGCTCTAATCAGTTTCTCTCTAGAAAGCACTGATGAAATAGGGCTCTTGTGTTATTAATTTGAGGTTAATGCGACAGTGCTTTCAATCTGCTCCTGTTGTTGAAGTGCTTTTAATGGTTACTTTTTAGGCCCACATATGTATTATGGTTGTGAAATATTTTTAAAAGGAAATCCTCTGACCACCTTTCTCTGTATGACCTTGAAGTGGTTTTTGATGACTGCACCAGCCGCACCAGCTTTCTCTTTCACTCCGAGGATTCACGCTTCAAAGTAGATGGCGACGGGACGCTGAAACTGAAGAGGGGGGTGACTCTACATAATGGACATGAGGAGTTCTATGTCTCTACCCACTCCAAGGGCAAGAAGATCACGGTTCCAGTCAGAGTGCTGCATGAGGCCAGACACGGCCACCACCACAATCACCATCACCATGAGATGACAACCCAGCCCCAGGTATACGACTGGTCAAATTAATAAGACAATGCTGTCCTCTAGGGGATAGATGGGCAACTACATCTCCCTGGAAGTGTTTCAATTACTTGTATAGCTGGAAATATTCTGTCATTGAAACTGATTTTTTTTTCTCAGGTCAATTGATGACGTTTGATGGCAGTTTTTGTAAAATGCTCTTTCTGTGTGTGTGTGTGTGTGTGTGTGTGTATAGACTTGATATTTCATGGTTTTTGTTTGAATTCCACAGCCTGGAGCAAGTCTGTCTCTACCAGTTCTGAACTTCCCCAAGTCTTCAGGAGGTCTGAAAAGAAGGAAGAGGGACTGGGTCATTCCTCCCATCAACTTCCCAGAGAATGACCGAGGCCCCTTCCCCAAGGATATGGTGCAGGTAAGTGTCTTGTAGGTTAAGGATCGTTTTTTCCATTACTCTAATATCAGTGTCAGTGTTGCACATTTCTTCATTGACATGTGAATATTATTATCCTTGTAAACCAGATCAGGTCCAACAATGATAAAGAGGTGAAGATCCAGTACAGCATCACTGGCCCTGGGGCAGACCAACCTCCTGTGGGACTCTTCACTGTGGACAAAAACTCTGGGGTTCTCTATGTGACCCAGCCTTTGGACAGGGAGAAACAAGACAAATACATTGTACGGTTTGTGTATCCTAATTTTCTTCCCTTAACTTAATTAAACTGATATGTAGTTGAAACTACAGTTTTTCGCTACTTTTCTCTCTAGCTCCTAGCCCATGCTGTTGCAGTGGGTGCAGGTATAGCTGAGGAGCCCTTGGAGATCATTGTGAAAGTCATCGATATGAATGACAACAAACCTGTATTTACCCAAGATCCATTTACGGGAACAGTTCCTGAGGCATCAAAACCAGGTATGTTGTTCACACACGCTCACTATTTACAATACTTAATAATGTGATATTCTTTAAGGAAATTTATGCTAGAACGATTTTGCTTTAATTTATTTCACTGTTCAGGTGACGAGGTCATGAACGTAACGGCCACTGATGCTGATGAGAAGGGCTCTGCCAATTCTGATGTCAGATACACCATTATCAAACAGGACCCTCTACTACCAAGCCCCAACATGTTTGTCATCAACCCTGTGACCGGATGGATTCGGGTTAACGCACCTGGGTTGGACAGAGAGGTTGGTCTCTTTTCTAATCAATAGTCTTGTCGATCATTTATTCGTTGTGTACATTCTACTTGCGTGACATTTGTGACCCTGACTTAATTTACTACTTAATTTGTTTCAGAAAATTCCCAAATATACTTTGGAAATCCAAGCCGCCGATATGGAAGGAAATGGCCTTACCAGCTTTAGCAAAGCCATCATTACAGTGACGGACAGCAATGACAACGCGCCACAGTTTGTGACGCCTTTGGTAAGCACATTTCTGAAGACATTTCAAATTGAAGCCTTACCACTGTTGTAACACATAATGAAATTGCCCTTTCGTTTTTGCTTTATAATCATGCTTCTCTCCTTTGCAGTACACCGTGTCAGTCCCAGAGAATAAAGTGGATGCCTTGGTGGTGAAAATGCCAGTGACTGATGGAGATGAGCCTCACTCCTCTGCCTGGGCCACCACCTACAAGATAGTTGACGGGGACCCTCAAGGCCTTTTCAGTGTGAGCACAGGCCCTAGCAAGCTGGAGGGCATCATTACGACAGCCAAGGTATGTTGAAATCCTCTCCTATAGATATAATTGAGCTGCTACTCTGGGGGCGTAGCAAAAGCAACCTGTCAATGTAGCGTTTTAGCTGCTACTCTGGAATGATTTCCTGGAGGAAGCAACTTGCACTCCCCTTCGTATTTATTTGGACAGTGACGCTAAAACGTTTTCATTTGGCTCTGTTCTCTAGCATTTTTTTTATTTGAGATCCAATGTTTTATATGAGGCAACATTACATAATGTCACCTTTTTTATTTGAGGGTATTTTCATACATATGTTTTAACGTTTAGTAATGAAAGTACTTTATGTATCTAGTCCCCCCATTTTGAAGGTGCCGTGAGTATTTGGACAAATTCACTAATGGCGTATTGAAGTAGTCAAAAGTTTAGTATTTTGGTCCCATATTCCTAGCACGCAATGACTACATCAACTTTAACTACTTTCTTTTCGTTGTTTGATTGTTGTGCCCAATAGACCCTTTTCCAGTACACGACACACTAACGTCATGCACAGTTGAGCGCGACTCTTGGCAGCAGTAAGAAAGCCATCGCCATCTGCGCCCATTCAACACAGCCTAGATTTCCGTTTTTATTACTTCTAAACAAAATCACTTTTGGGGGTTCTCATGCTTAAAATTATGTTTTGATTCTTGCTTGAACAGTCGCTAGGGTTATATTTGGTGATGGTCTTTGCAAAATACCTATTTTGGATGCCGCAATTGTTAGCTAGAATGCTAACGCTCATTGATATAGGCTGTAGCAAAACCTAGACAGAGCCATTTTACTTTTTGAAGTTCAAGCGTTTAAAGTATAATGCAGTTGATTTGCGATAATGACACAAATATTATATTAAGCAGGACATTCATACGAGTCTTAAAATCCAATTATAATCCAAAAGTAGTGTGAAATGCACTCGTAAGCAACATGTAAATAGAGGCTTTTTTTTTTGCTGCCGTTGTGTAAGAACTCCCCCTTCTGCCACCAACTTGAGCGCATCGCCCTTGTGCGACAATGTTTGCAAACACAGAAAGTAGTCTATAGAAATGAATGGTAAGTAATGTATTGTCATTTTGGAGTCTCTTTCTTCTTCTTTTTTTTGTGTGTAAATGAGAATAGAATGTTTCTAAACTCTTCTACATTAATGTGGATGCTACCATTGTGGATAATCATGAATACATCTTGAATCACGATGAGTGAGAGTTCGAGGGAAAAATATCATACACCCCCCAAAAATTATAACCTCCCCTGTTATTGGTAATGATGAGAGGTTAGCATGTTTTGGGGGTATGATCTTTATGCCTCCAACTTTGTCACTCATCATTATTCACGATTCATTCAGGATTATCCGTAAACATGGTAGCATCCACATTGAAGTAAAATTGTTCAGAAGCATATAGTTATTTACAATAAAAGTGATTCTTATTTACCATTCATTTCTATTGGGCACAAAATAATCCGAAACTAAACCAAAACAAACTGAAAATGCATCTAGCAAGTTTGTAGTCGCATGCTTGATGTAGTCATTGTGTGCTAGGAATATAGAACTAAATAATACTACACTTTTGACTACTTTATTACACTGTGAATATGTCCAAGTATCTATGATGCCTTCAAATGGGGGGACTAGATAAATAAAATGCTTACAATTTATAAATGGTAAAACTGATATTTATGAAAAGACCCTCAAATAACAAGTTACAGTATGTACTGTCACTTCATATGAAACATTTGATCTCAAATCAAAAATGCTAGAGTATAGAGCCAAATTAAAAGTTTTGGCTACACTGTCCAAATAAATATATAGGGGAGTGTATGCTTGTAGATATAAACACCAATATCCTGATTCTATAATGTCTGAAGGATTCCTATGCTGATGGGCTATTCTGTTCTTTCAATACAGCCCCTTGACTTTGAGAAGAATAACAAGTACACTCTTCTGGTCACTGTGGAGAATGAAGTCCCATTCGCCGTCAGCATGCCAACCTCCACTGCTACTGTTATAGTGAATGTGGAAGATGTAAATGAAGCTCCAGTCTTCACCCCAGTGGAGAAGATTATCAAAACACCTGAGGATCTCCCTGTTGACAGTGACCTGGTTCCATACACAGCCACAGACCCAGACACTGCAAGGAATCAGAAAGTCACGTAAGATTATAACTTCATTTACATTTTCTTATATGTTTTGTAAGATTTGAAGAGGGGAACATTATTTTTATTTTTTTTACATTACATTTACTCAACAGATACAAGATAGGCAGGGATCTTGCTGGATGGCTCAGTATCAACAAAGACACTGGGCTGATCAAAGTCAAGAGCCTCATGGACAGAGAATCCCCTTTTGTCCAAGACAACAAATACTCTGTTATTGTTCTGGGCATTGACAACGGTACTTCAATTTTCCCTTTCTCTAATGTTAACTATTAATATTTCAAGTTTAGAAGATGACCACACCCTGAACTTCACCTTTTGAGTGACATTGCTCTAATTTGCAGATGAAGTCCCGGCAACTGGCACTGGCACCCTTATCATAGAGCTGGAGGATGTGAATGACAATGCTCCAACCATTGACGAGAGGGTGATTAGGGTCTGCAACAAGGAGTCCTCCCCACAGCTGCTGTCAGTCACTGATAAAGATGGCGCGGGCTTCGCTGCTCCATACACCGTACAGCTTCAGGGGTCGTCCAATTCTAACTGGACTGCCAGAATGAATGACACAAGTATGCATACAGTACTATCCCCCCTTTAAAACAATTGCGTTGTTTGATGTTAAATGTTACCTGTTTTCCATTTCAGAGACTGGTATTATCCTGACACTGAAGACTATGTTGGACAGTGGAGATTACACAGTTGTCCTGAGAGTGTCTGACAACCAGGGCCTGCACCAGGACAGCACCATCCAGGCCTCAGTGTGTGACTGCAAAGGAGCTGATGTCCAGTGCATCGATAAAGCTGTAGCAGGCTTCGGCCTCTCTAGCATTCTGGGAATTCTAGGAGCCGTCTTACTACTCCTATGTAAGTTGTTAATTTGTTAAACCCGTTACTAAAGTGTTTGGTCAATGCTGTCCTCGAAGCCTACATATGTAATTGTTAATAGACAATGAAGTGCTAGTTTGTTGTGCTCCACAGTGTTGTCTCTTCTGCTGCTCATGTTCCTGAGGAAGAGAGGTGGTGAGAAGAAGGAGCCTCTGCTGCAGGAGGACGATGTCAGGGACAACCTCTACTACTACGACGAGGAGGGAGGTGGCGAGGATGACCAGGTGAGGGGAGAGCACACCAGACTAGCTCAGAACAAGCCCACTAGGCTCTCCCAATGGTCAATTTATTATTGGGATATGCAATGGTTTGCAATAACAAATCTGTCACTCAATGTTTCTAAAGTTTATGGTTCTGTATGTTCGAATCTTGGAATATAATACGTGTCTGTACATCTTTCCACTTTCAGGATTTCGACTTGAGCGTTCTGCACAGAGGTCTGGATAACCGTCCTGATGTTTTCCGTAATGACATCGCTCCAACCATGGCCCGGCCAGAGTATCGCCCACGACCCGCCAACCCAGCCGACATTGGCAACTTCATTGATGATGTGAGTAAAGTCTTGAACTGATTTATACTGTGAGTGGAATACACAGTTAAGATCATATCTAGGTCGTCTGAAGATGATTTGTCATTGAAATAACTGGATTTGACATGGATAAATGTAGTTTATGCTTGTTTAAAATGTATATTCACCAAGGTGCTAAAATGTAATCTTTCTGTTCACCAGAACCTGAAGGCAGCTGACAACGACCCCACTGCTCCTCCCTACGACTCCCTCCTGGTGTTTGACTATGAAGGAGGTGGCTCTGAGGCCGGCTCCCTCAGCTCCCTCAACTCCTCCAGCTCAGGAGACGACCAGGACTACGACCTCCTTCAAGAGTGGGGCCCACGCTTCAAGAAGCTGTCTGACATGTACGGAGGAGGAGAGGATTGAGAAGTCAGTCAGCCACTAAACCTTTCTGCTTGGCAAGCGTCCGGTTCTCTACACTTGAGTCTGTAGACTGAAGACACCTTCTTTATTTCCCCTTTTATGTGTTTCGGGCACATCTACATTTTGGCAATTCGATTTGTGCAGACATGGGACCATTTTTAGAAAAATTTGTTCAATGCTCGTCTTCAGCATGGGGAGGGTGGCACACTCTTGGCTCTGCACTAGCAGGATGTTGACATGGATTTTACACAGTTCAGCAGTGCTTTCTAATGGACTCTTAACAACCCCAGATTATACTTGAATTGAATTTGCTTTGTTTGCTGGTTTTTGCTTCTATGTTGGCATCATAAAGTTCTGTTTTTTTTTCTATAAAGACGATCCTTTGGCATGAAATTTAAGTTACTGAAAGCCAAATCAGCCTTAGGATTTTTTTGTTAACAGAGATTAATTATCAAGCTCAATAAATGCTTTTTAAAATGTTTGATTTAACGTCTAAGTTTGGTAGTTTTATTCCTTTTCATTTTAATCATATTAAGTATGTTTTTTTCTTTTTGCTTCTGAAGAAGCACTTGTGAATTCTTTTTTTTTTTTATAAAGGATATCCCTTTGGTACAATGATGGACGTGAATAGTTTTATTAAATAAATTACAACATGTCAGTCTTTTTTTTATATATATATATACAGTGAGGGAAAAAAGTATTTGATCCCCTGCTGATTTTGTACGTTTGCCCACTATAATTTTAATGGTAGGTTTATTTGAACAGTGAGAGACAGAATAACAACAAAAAAAATCCAGAAAAACGCATATCAAAAATGTTGATTTGCATTTTAATGAGGGAAATAAGTATTTGACCCCTCTACAAAACATGACTTAGTACTTGGTGGCAAAACCCTTGTTGGCAATCACAGAGGTCAGACGTTTCTTGTAGTTGGCCACCAGGTTTGCACACATCTCAGGAGGGATTTTGTCCCACTCCTCTTTGCAGATCTTCTCCAAGTCATTAAGGTTTCGAGGCTGACGTTTGGCAACTCGAACCTTCATCTCCCTCAACATATTTTCTATGGGATTAAGTCTGGAGACTGGCTAGGCCACTCCACCTTAATGTGCTTCTTCTTGAGCCACTCCTTTGTTGCCTTGGCCGTGTGTTTTGGGTTATTGTCATGCTGGAATACCCATCCACAACCCATTTTCAATGCCCTGGCTGAGGGAAGGAGGTTGTCACCCAAGATTTGACGGTACATGGCCCCATCCATCGTCCCTTTGATACGGTGAAGTTGTCCTGTCCCCTTAGCAGAAAAACACTCCCAAAGCATAATGTTTCCACCTCCATGTTTGACGGTGGGGATGGTGTTCTTGGGGTCATAGGCAGCATTCCTCCTCCTCCAAACACGGTGAGTTGAATTGATGCCAAAGAGCTCCATTTTGGTCTGATCTGACCACAACACTTTCACCCAGTTCTCCTCTTAATCATTCAGATGTTCATTGGCAAACTTCAGACAGGCATGTATATGTGCTTTCTTGAGCAGGGGGACCTTGCGTGCGCTGCAGGATTTCAGTCCTTCACAGCGTAGTGTGTTACCAATTGTTTTCTTGGTGACTATGGTCCCAGCTGCCTTGAGATCATTGACAAGATCCTCCCGTGTAGTTCTGGGCTGATTCCTCACCGTTCTCATGATCATTGCAACTCCACGAGGTGAGATCTTGCATGGAGCCCCAGGCCGAGGGAGATTGACAGTTATTTTGTGTTTCTTCCATTTGCGAATAATCGCACCAACTGTTGTCACCTTCTCACCAAGCTGCTTGGCGATGGTCTTGTAGCACATTCCAGCCTTGTGTAGGTCTACAATCTTGTCCCTGACATCCTTGGAGAGCTCTTTGGTCTTGGCCATGGTGGAGAGTTTGGAATCTGATTGATTGATTTCTTCTGTGGACAGGTGTCTGTTATATAGGTAACAAGCTGAGATTAGGAGCACTCCATTTAAGAGTGTGCTCCTAATCTCAGCTCATTACCTGTATAAAAGACACCTGGGAGCCAGAAATCTTTCTGATTGAGAGGGGGCCAAATACTTATTTCCCTCATTAAAATGCAAATAAATGTATAACATTTTTGACATGCGTTTTTCTGGATTTTGTTGTTGTTATTCTGTCTTTCACTGTTCAAATAAACCTACCATTAAAATTATAGACTGATCATTTATTTGTCAGTGGACAAACGTACAAAATCAGCAGGGGATCAAATACAGATTGTACAAGTTATATTTAAGCAATAAGGCCTGAGGGGGTGTGGTATATAGCTAAGGGCTGTTCTTAGGGACAATGCAACAAGCAGTGCCAGGACACAGCCCTTCGCAGTGGTATATTGGCCAATAATCACAAACCCCCGAGGTGCCTTACTGCTATTATAAACTGGTTACAAACATAATTAGAGCAGTAAAAAATAAATAGTTTGTCATACCCCTGGTATACGGACTGATATACCACGGCTATCAGCCAATCAGCAGGGCTCTAACCATTATGGCTATAAGGTGAATGCACCTATTTGTAAGTCGCTCTGGATAAGAGCGTCTGCTAAATGACGTAAATGTAAATGTTATAGGCTACCTTAGACATTTAGACTCCCTGTGTGTGATTCAAGGCACAATGTCCAATTTTAAACATGTTATATAAATATTTGTTTTGTCTTACACTTTAGAAGTGTGGAGTAGGTGGTTAAGGTCAGTGTAATGTACCGTGAACTGTTCAAGGAAGTGGTACTTTCACACCATCATTAAAAAAAAGCAGTTACGGTTGATTTTAGTCCTCCACGCTGCTGTCCTCCCCTCCTTGACCGCTAGTTCGGCTGCCTCAATAGGACGGACTTCATGGAATGGAAAATGACCGGTCCGGGAATGCGCTTTGTTTCCAAAGCTTTCAAATGAGACATGGAAAGAAACTGAGAATAATAGACGTGGAACCTCTCACGAAACACTTCAAATCTGTTTTTCTATACAAGTAAGAATAAGAAACAAAAAAAAGTGCATTCATTCAAATAAACACTGTTAGTTGGCCTAATCATAGGTTTGGACAAAGAGCAATTTTTTTATGAAGGTGTCGAAAGTTTTTGTAGGCTTGTTCAACCAAAAAAACTAACATTTATTTGCCATTTTTTGCTATACCATGTGATAGTGAGAAAGTTTGTAGAGTAAAGAAAAACAAGTATAAAGAAATACCGGCAGGCCAATATTTTCAGTCAGGCAGGGCAAAGTCAGATCGCCTGTCTACGGGTTTGCAGACTACTGTGTACTGTACTGTGTATTGCGATGCACCTGTTTTGTTGGGGTATGCTGATCGACTCAGTGGCGCCGCCCCCGTGCACTTGTCCTTTTATTCTAATTGGTCCGACACGGTGTGTATGCTAATTCGCAGTGACCACTGCACCTGACTCTCTCTACTCCACTGAAGAATGCAAGGCAACAGACAGCCTCCAAGTAACAGCTATTTATTCAACAGGTCATCATAATCAACGAGCGCTCACTTGTTACATTATAACTCAGAGCTTTATGATAAAGATGCCAAGGTCCTTTCTGGTGAAGAAACATCTCACTAATAAGAAGCCAAACTATGGAATTCTGGATTCAAAAGCAGACGGTACAGTTAACTTTTAAAATCGACTTAAATTATACGTTTCTGTCGTTGTGTTGTATATTCTCATCTAGTTCTATAAAAAAATACCAATGTGATTACCTTTGCTATTTTGTCTGTTGGCTAGAACTTGCATTATTTCAGAAAAAAACTATGAACTTATCATTATATATTATATTTTATTCCATTCATAGCCCATTTTAAAAATGATTTTTATTTTTGCCTTGAGTAATTGAACACACTAGGCCTATAACTCAAACAATATGATTACAGCATAGTCTAAAATTATGTTAGTTATAGGAAAGTAAATAATGATGGATTGAACTGATGCCTTGGAATAGGATACAACAAATGCGGTTTTGTAGTTTAGCAGGTGCAAAATCTGTCACACAAAAGAAGAGCTTATTGTTAGTCCCTCCTTCTGGGATCTGAAGGGTCCTATTAAGCGCGTTCAAGAGGCTAATGTAGTGCCCTCCGAGGCTCATTTTACCCTGAAATTTGCCTGGGTTTTGTTCCAATTCACCCTTTAAAGCAAGCTAGCCTCCCACCCTCCTCTATTTAACTGTCAAGATTACCGTTATAGAAGTGGAAAAGAAAATTAATGTGACTGAAATCAGATGAGTTTTTTTAAAAGGAAAATAGAATAGTTCCTGTTGGCTATGCTATGTGAATGCATTGGAACTTTGGAACTCTGTTACTTTGAGACTGCTCCTAATATTGTAAATGAATGTAAAATGTTTAACTATATGTTTTAACGTATTACTGAATCCTACCTAATTGTTATCATAGAGCATGATTAAAACATTTGAGTGTACTTGTAAAACAGTTTTAACATAAAATGGTGTTTGTGTCATTACAGCTTTCCACACCAGCCTGGTCCAGCCTGAGGTACCAAGTTACATCCCCAGCAGTCCTCAGACCCTGGAGGGTTGGCTGCCAGGACCAAGTCTCATCCCCACACCAGCCTCCATGCATTCTCCACAGGTAGACAGGCTGTCTTTAAGGGACACAAGCTTGTCCCTGCATAGCTCAACACAACAAATCACCTACCCCCTGTCAGTGTCTCACAACAATCCACTAAGAGACTCACACTCCGGTCTTGAGCCCCTGGGAACCATGGAACCCCAGACCTTCCTGCCCTCACAGGACTTCAGACACCTGCAGGAGAGGGGCAGCATGCCTAATCCCCTCCTGGGCCTTGTCCACTCTGGTGTTAGTCAGGAGCGCTTTGAATGCTTCGACTGCCACAAAGCCTACTTCACCTTCTCTGGGCTGGCCAAGCACAGGCAGTTGCACTGTGAGTGGCAGTGTCACAAGTACTTCAGCTGCAAGTACTGTGACAAGGAGTACGTGAGCCTGGGAGCTCTGAAGATGCACATCCGAACACACACTCTGCCGTGCGTCTGCAAGCTCTGTGGGAAGGCCTTCTCCAGGCCTTGGCTGCTCCAGGGACACATTCGCACACATACAGGTACGGCCGGAGTAATGTACAGCCGGCAACAGTTTTTACCTTTATTCACCAGTTTCATGAATTGAGCTTGACTTCACATCGTCCCGTATTCAGTTACCCACTAGGGCTCTGAGTTGATCAATTCCTTTTTTCAGGTGAGAAGCCCTTCTCCTGCCCACACTGCAGCCGGGCGTTTGCTGACCGCTCCAACCTCCGAGCACACCTACAGACACACTCTGACATCAAGAAATACCAGTGCAAGAGCTGCTCCAAAACCTTCTCCAGGATATCTCTGCTCTCCAAGCATGAAGAGGCTGGCTGCTGCCCACTGTCCTGATGCCATTTACTGCCTGTGCTGCCCACTCTGTGCCTGTTGTCTAGACTATGTCTGGTTCTACTAATACCCTCACAAAGCACTGGAGATAAACTACTATTCGTGACACAGAGCTCTGACTACTGAATGTTTTTGGTCTCTGACATTTCAGGCTCATGAAATAAGCTCAGTGGACTGTCCAAAGACTGTATGTCATATATTTGATATATGAAGTAGTTTGACATCAAGAAAAAATTAGAAAAGTTATTGGATGCTGCCAAAAATACTTTAAATGCCTTGAAGTTTTTGATTGTGTTATTGATGATTACCTGTGCCTTTTGTGGAAATGTATAGCTGGAGTATACAATTTTGTATGGACTTTGTTTAAAAACAATACATATTTTTGTACAATTGCCTTGTATTATGCCTAAATATGAAAACATGCATCATCATGGGAGACATGAACCACTGAGAGGAAAGCACAAGCCCTAGTCTAAGTCAAGAAATATTGAAGAAACCCACTTTTCTAAAATCAAAACGAAGACTGAGTGACTGCTGAAGAGTACACAAGTAGAGTATTAGAACTAAATGTTAGCGCTTTCCTATCAGTGACCCAGCCCGTTCCTACTTTACGACCATTTCTTGGCATTGTGAGATCACTGGCATACTGTAAATATCATCATGGGCGCACAGGAAACTGGAGAATAAAGCGATTAGGATAAACAGAAAACAGTGTGGGTGACATTCTGGAAGTGTTCTTGTGACACCCCTATCCCCAGGCAGGATCTCTTCGGGGTCTCTGAGACTGGAGCATTTAAATCACATTCCCCCCCCCCCCCTCAGCTAATTAATGTATTTTTGGAGGGCAGCTGGTGAAGGTGGATATTTTAAGAGTGTAAATAAAACCGTGATGTTTCCCATTTTTAATGGTGGATGGAAAATTCTTATTCAATATATCTGTTTATTGGCAGGTGGAGGGAGGCCAGCTGCATGCCGCTGTGGCGCCATGCCAGGCCTTGCGGGAGGGGAGACGGGGGGGCTGGGTCGACTCTTTCCAGTTGCTCAGCACAAGTGGAGCAGCTGAGTGGAGAGACCTCCCCAAACACATTGCCAGTCACTGCCGGCAGGGAGAAACGCTGCTTTTCTCCAGCAGAATCCAAAACATGTCAGGCATGTCCCAAGGCACTCCAAACTTGCACAGGTTGGAGCAGCTTGGTATCAGGACTCAGGCTAAGACCCAGATGCAGACAAAGGAGGTGGATAGTAAGAGTCTCAGAGTTTATTACATAACAAGGAGCAGGCAAAAGGTAAGTCCAGGCAGGCAAAGAGTCGTAATCTAAATCATGATGTAATCCAAATGATGAGTTGGTTATTTGAATTTAGGTGTGTAGTGCTAGGGCAAAACCAAAAACGTGCACCCAGGGGGGGCCCCAGGACAGAGTCTGGGAAACCCTGCGCTAAATGACTAAAATGTTAATATATACAGCAGGTGACATAGTTGTGGGACTAAAGAGATACCTGGAAGTATCTTTGGCCACAAAACCCATAACGTAGCAGGAAGCCCACGCAGAGCAGAGCTCATCGAGACAGGCCAGTGTTTTCAGGAGGCCAGGTCCCGTGGGGCAGGGCTCTGGCACCACCGTCACAGCTCCCTGGGGTGTTGCTGGGAGTTTTAGTGGAGACTGACATGGCAGACACATGGCAGACGCATTCCTCAGCATATCCTGGCTGGAGCCGTCTCAGCCCATCCTTCACCTCTCTGACACACTAAATTTATACCAACAGAATTCTACAGCAGCAGGACACCATGGACCCGGTCAACCATGGACAACTTCTACTACTACTTACATTGTGGAGATCAATATGAATGTAACCGTTTCAGAGGTTTGGTAGAAACGTTGACCAGCCTTACTGGACAGACCCAGAGGATAAGGACGGTAAACAAACACAAGGCTCCGGCTCCAGACGTGATCTTGACCTCTGTCGCCGTTCTCCATGACGTGTGCGTCAGCTGACGCCGCAGCAGCTCCTAACTATAGCCACTGTGACTCCACAAAAGACCCCTCTCGCCCTATAAATACCCTGTAGCCAGGGCAAGAGAGGCATGGACCTGCTACCCATACAGCAGCAGACGGGTCAAAAATAGAGGCAGTGGGGCTATTTCTGGCCCAGTGTGAATTGGGCCTGGCCAAACGCTAGCGCCTGGGTTGGGCTGACAGGAGGCTCCAGTCCTTCTCAGGTCCCTGGCACTGATGAGTGGAACCTAGAGAGTTTCCAATGCTCTGTGCAAATTAGTTAGGTTTCTCCAATTCCACAGAGCTGTGTCTCGCTGTTTTCCTTTGGAACAATCCCTGGGCCTGATCCAGGGATTCGCCTGTCAGTAACCCTCCCTAACCCCCCCATACTGTTTCTCAGCTGCTGGGGATTTCACCCCCATCTCCACTTGTCCTGCTACTCTGCTGGATACAGCCACCGTATCAGCTCCTGGGATGATTTGATAGCATAGAGGTTGACGAGTTCCCATCCATTGAGATAGAGAAGGAGCTTTGATATATTTGTCTAGAGCATTTATGTTGATCTGTTGGGGGTAGTGATGAGAATCTAGATTAGTGATTAGATAGTATTTATGTGTGTTAGATAAAACTAGTGACAGCTATCTCACGATAAACTCATGTCACAGACCTAAAACATCACAGAAATCATGAAAAGCACATGTACTCTAGAGAAGAGAGTGAAGGAAGATAAATCAATTGTTTGTCTTTAAAATGTTTGTTGAATTTTGAAACACAACTGACTTTAAACAAAATTAAATTAGTCTGTATTTCCTTCAACAGACACAAATTAAAATGCGTCGGTGTCATATTTGAATATCAAGCGCTTGATAAAAGTAATTGCAAAAGTATTCAGGCCCCTTAGATTTCTTCACATGTTATTGTGTTACAAAGTGGGATTCAAATGCATTTAATTGTAATTTTTTGTAAACAGAAAATACTCTGTAATGTCAAAGTGGAAGAAAAATTATATATGAAAAAATATCAATAAAACATTCATAGCTCAAATATAGTCGTTGCATAAGTATTTATCCCATTTGTTTAAGCAAGCCTAAATTAGTTCAGGAGTAAAATGTGGCTTAATAACTCACATAATAATTGACATGGACTCACTCTGTGTGAAATAATAAGGGTTGACATGATTTTTGAATGACTAACCCTTTCTCTGTCCCCCCTAAATACAACATCTGTAAGGTCCCTAAGTCAAGTATTGAATTTCAAGCACAGATTCAACTACAAAGACCAGCGAGCATTTCGAAAGCCTCATAAAGAAGGGCAGTGATTGGTAGATGGGTAACAATAACAAATCAGGCATTGAATATCTCTTTCAACATGGTCAAGTTAATAATTATGCTGTGGATTATGTAATAACCCACCCAGACACTTCAAAGATACAGTCATCCTTCTAAACTGAGCTGCAGGACAGGAATGAAACTGCTCAGGGATGTTACCATGAGGCCTTTGGTGATTTTAAAACAGCTACAGAGTTTAATGGCTGTGATGGGAAAACCGGGGATGGATCAACAACATTGTAGTGAAACAACAATAATGGCCTAAAAGACAGTGAAAAGACAAATACAAATATACGGAATACATTTATGTAAAGTAATACTGCAAAAAAAAACGGCAAAGGAATACACTTTTTGGCCTAAATGCAAAGCCTTTGGGGTAAATTCAACGCATCCCTGAATAACTGCCTCCTTATTTTCAAGCATGGTGGTGGCTGCATCATGGTATGGGTATGCTTGACATCGGCAAATACTGTGGAGTTTTTCAGGATAAAAAGAAACAGGATGAAGCGGAGCACAGGCAAGATCCTAGATGAAAACCTGCTTCAGTCTGCTTTACACTAGATACTGGAGTTGCTTACCAAGAAGACAGTGAATGTTCCTGAGTGGCCAAGTTACAGTTTTGACTTAAATCTGCTTGAAAATCTATGGCAAGACACAATAATTTTTTTAAGAATAATCGGCAAATATTGCACAATCCAGGTGTGCAAAGCTCTTACAGACTTACCCAAGAAGACTCACAACTGTAATCGATGCCAAAGGTGTTTCTAACATTTATTGACTCAGGGAGCTGAATACTTATGCAATTACTATATTTTAGTTATTTAATTTGTATTAATCTTTTAAAGTATTTTGTGTAGTTTGTTGACAAAAAAAAAGACAATTCAATCAATTTTAATCCCACTTTATAACACAATAAAATGTGAAGAAATCCAAGGGATCTGAATACTTTTGCAAGGTACTGTATTTATGTATTTTCAAACTGGTTTCCAATACGCCAACGTGGCATGTGGTCATACAGTATTAAGTTGTAATCGATGCCAAAGGTGTTTCTAACATTTATTGACTCAGGGAGCTGAATACTTATGCAATTACTATATTTTAGTTATTTAATTTGTATTAATCTTTTTAAGTATTTTGTGTAGGTTGTTGACAAAAAAAAGACAATTCAATCAATTTTAATCCCACTTTATAACACAATAAAATGTGAAGAAATCCAAGGAATCTGAATACTTTTGCAAGGTACTGTATTTATGTATTTTCAAACTGCTTTCCAATACGCCAACGTGGCATGTGGTCATACAGTATTAGTCTATTGGAAAATCTGAATCAATGAAGAGTGTAAAAAGACCATCCGGTAATAGATCCATTTAGAATAGCACTGTAAATTAGAGATAGTGCCTACAGCCCTTAGACAAAAGAAGAATCCTATATCGGCACCAGGTTTAAGATTTGTGATTAGCGAGTGAGTCAAAGTTGACATTTTTCCAGTGTGTGTTGGCCTATGAGCGCATCATGGACACACCCCTACTACCTACACCCACATGTCGCCATGGCAACATTGTCAAATCATGAGTGCATGCAAGCTCAGCTTGACTTCAGGGGATATCCAGCCGGGTCATGTCTATATGGATATTAATACAAACTTTTAGGCATATAAATACTGGATAACCTGTTTATAATAAGCATGCCACTACTCAAAATGCTAGTATCATAGTAATACAATCCCAGTTGCCACTTATAGCCCCTTTGAAGACAAAATGGGGCTATTTTTAGTTTATCCAGCGGATGCTATATGGCCTGGTGGGATATTTCTATAAACGACCTCAGCACAGCCTTGCACCGACTCAGATTTTTGGAATATTTTCCACAGTGAGTGTTGGGCATTTATTAATATAGCTCGGTCCTGTAGCTCCCTGACACCCTGCGTATGAATGCAATGTGTTGCACTTGTTACCAAAACCCTGCCACTATGCTGCTGTGGACTGGAGATGGGAGGATTCAGGGGGGTAGTTATATCTGTCCACTTGTTGTGGAAGAAAAGCCCTGCAGGCCTGAACAGGTGCAGCTTGGTAACATTTAGAGGCCCGTCAAAATCGCCCTATTTTCCATCTGATATCTGAGATTGCTTTTAACCGCGATCGATAAAAGACAGTACTGTGCAGCCGTCTTCATTGACCTGGCCAAGGCTTTTGACTCTGTCAATCACCGCATTCTTATTGACAAACTAAATAGCCTTGGTTTCTCAAATGACTGCCTCGCCTGGTTCACCAACTACTTCTCAGATAGAGTTCAATGTGTCAAATTGGAGGGCCTGTTGTCTGAACCTCTGGCAGTCTCTATGGGGGTGCCACAGGGTTCAATTATTGTATATCAATGATTTCGCTCTTGCTGCTGGTGACTCTCAGATCCACCTCTACGCAGACGACACCATTTTGTATACATCTGGCCCTTCATTGGACACTGTGTTAACAAACCTCCAAACGAGCTTCAATGCCATACAACACTCCTTCCGTGTC